GGGGCCCTTTAGAGTAGTGAGAGAAGATCTTCACCCTGAAACCTACAGCGTCCCTTTTCAGCAGGAAGTAGCTAAGAGAATACGCCATCCCCTTCTCCTTATGAATCAGGGTGAAGTCTCTCTCAGGGAGGAGTGATAGGTAATGGCAAAGGACACACTAACAAAGGAAATTAATCAGAACTGGCTTTGACAAGCACTGCGGCAACTGGACAATTTTTTTTTTGGCAGTTGGACAATTAAAACAGACATTCAAGGGGGGACAAAAAAAGAAGAACGAACTGGGGAGGAGGGTAGAGAAAATAGTGCAACAATGAATGAATGAAAACCCAAAATCTCTGTAAATGTTCATTAAAACTAATAAAATTTAATAAAAAAATAAATAGTTGCCTATCCAATGAATAACTCCTCCCATTGTTAAAGGAAGCTCTGTTGGTGTACTGGTAAGGAACTGCACTGGCAATTCAAAGGCTTGTGGTTCAAATCTACCAGCTGCTCTGTGGGAAAAAAATAGGCCATCACTTCTTGTGCAATTTACTGCCTCTGAAAACCCACTGTAGGGTCAGTTCCAACTCAAAAGCACATAAACAACAACAACAATGCATTGGTGAAGCGTTGTATGAAAGGAGAAGTTTAATACTCTCCTTGACAAGGATGGAAGAGGCCCTGAGGCACTAGACAGTCATATGGTTAAGACATTGTCACCTCCTTTGAGGCATTTAAACACTGTTTCAGACTTCCGGAGGCTAGGGGTTAAGGAGTCATGCTAACAAACAAAAGGAAGTTCAAATCCACCAGCTGCTCTAAGGAAGTAAGAAGGGCAATCTCCTTCCGTGTGACTTGTAATCTCTGAAAACCCACTGGAGGGTCAACTATGAGTCAGTTCTGAGGTGACAGCACATAATAACCACCCGCAGTTGATAGGTGGCAGGTCAGAAAAAGAAAGGAAGACCCTCAAGTGAGATGGATTGACACAGTGACAGCACCAATGGACCCATGCATGTGGGAGATCGTGGCAATGGCACAGGACAGGGCAAGGTTCTGATCTGTGCTTCACAGGCTGGCTCTGAGTTGTAGTTGACTCAACAGCACCTAACAACAACATATTGTTGACATGAGTTGTCATAATTTAAGTAGAAACTATAGAACAATATCATTGATTTCACATGCAAGCAAGATTCTACTGAAGATCATCCAAAAACGACTAGAACAACACATCAGCAGAGAACTGCCAGAAGTCCAGGCTGGGATTAGAAGGGGTCGTGGTACTAGGGATATTGTAGCTGATGTTAGATGGATCTTAGCTGAAAGCAGGGAATACCAGAGGAATGCAGAGAAATGTCTATCTGTGTTTCATTGACTATGCAAAGGCGTTTGACTGTGTGGATCATAAAAAATTGTGGCTGACTCTGAAAAGAATGGGAATCCCAGAACACTTGATCATGCTAATGCGAAACCTATATTGATCCAGGAGGCACTCATCAGAACAGAGCAAGGAAATACTGTATGGTTCAAAATTGGGAAGGGAGTACACCAGGGATGCGTCCGGTCTCCGTACCTTTTCAACCTGTATGCAGAACAGATTATCCAGGAGCCTGGGCTCTATGAGGAGAAGTGTGCCATCAGGATTGGTGGAAGATCTATCAACAATCTGCGATATGCAGATGACACAACCCTGCTTGCGGAAAGTGAGGAGGACCTGAAGCGCCTACTGCAGAGGGTCAAGGACTGTAGCCTCCAATATGGATTGAGGCTCAATGTCAAGAAGACAAAGATTCTCACCACTGGACCAACTGGCAGCATCAGGATGGATGGTGAAGAGATTGAGATTGTTCACAGCTTTAGTTTGCTTGGCTCCACAGTCAACACTCTTGGCACCAGCAGCCAGGAAATTAAAAGATGTATTGCCATGGGAAAGTTTGCTGTTAGGGACCTCTCCAAACTACTGAAGAGCAATGGTGTCTCTCTAGAGACTAAGGTGTGTCTGATACAGGCCATGGTCTTTGCTATCATTTGTTATGCATCAGAGAGTTGGACAATGACCAAGGAGGATAGAAGGAGAATTGATGCCCTTGAGCTGTGGTGCTGGAGAAGAGTATTGAGGGTACCACGGACTGCTAGGAAAACAAACAGATTTGTCCTGGAAAGGGTTAAACCGGGCAGCTCCTTGGAGGCAAGAATTCTGAGGCTCCATCTAACATACTCTGGACATGTTGTAAGGAGAAACTGGTCCTTGGAGAGGTAATCGGGATGGGAGTGTCAGAGACAGTGTGATTGGCACAGGACAGAGCAGAGTTTAGGGCTGTTGTACAGAGAGTCGCTATGAGTTGCAAGCAACTCAACGGAACATAACAACAACAAACAAGATGGAAGAAGGGTCTGAGCACACAGGGGTGCTCTAGGCCCCTCATTTGAGCTTGAGTTGGGTGAAGAGCCCTGTATTTCAGTGCTCTCAGCACCAAAGCAGATGCCCTCCAACAGACAGATTCAAACTAATAATAGTGGCCCCATGTATGTCCAAGTAGACCTGTGTTCCACTGGGGTGTCAATAGCTGATTTTTCCAGAAGTAGATCATGAGGCTTTTTACTGAAGTGCCTCTGGAGAGACTCAAACCACCAACCTTTCAATACAGTGAACACAGTAAGTATGTGCACCACCCACGGACTCCCAGGCCAGCACAAAGTCCCAGAACCCAGCACACAGGGTTGGGGCTGCACTCTGACTGCATCGCTGGGACAGTTCAGCCTAGGCCAACAGCTTATGTTATGGAGCAAAAATGCACTGGTGAGAATCGGGAGGCACAACACTAGAGCACATGGAGAGGAGCCAGGAGACGCTGTAATGTTTGCCATTATGCTGTCAGCATAAAGCCTCATCTCTTTCTGCTAAGTTTAGAGAGGAAATACACACGCCAGTCTGGGTCCTATACGTTTCAAATGAAAACAAACTTCTACTATCCGTGCCAAAAGAATTTATACAGAGACACAAAAAAGTGAGCTCACTGTAATTAGCTAGCAAACTGGCCTCGCCGCATGTGCAAAACCCGAACAGACGGAGAAGAGCTGGTTGGAAAGACCATTTTAAAGCAAAGAGTAAACTGTGTTTTGCTCCCTTTTGACTAGAATCAGGCTCGGAGAGGGTTCTTTTTTTTTCTTCTTTTTCTTTTTTGAAGAGTTACTCAATTCAGTGAGTTCAGGCTGAACACTCCCTTTTTGCATAGAAATTCAGACAAGAGGAACTTTTTAAACTACACATCCTAACCCTGCTTACCCCAAACAAAGGAGAGTCCTGCGAGCCACTGCAAGAATAGAGGACAGATTAAAAGGGTGCGTGAGACTTGTGCTCCGATGCACAGGATTTCAGGAAAAAGCGCAGACGGGAAAGGAAACAGAGTGAGGCTAAGACAGGCGGGCAAGGCACACTCAGCCCTGCAACCAGAGGTCTTAGCATTCCTGGGGACTCCCGGGCTCCACAGTCCCAGAAGAACTCAGGTCACAGGGTAGATAACTATGGTCTCAAAGCACGTGCTCAGCTAGGAAGTCGTGCTTTCTCTCTTCCCTCCCTTGCAGCAACTACTATCTCAACCAGTGCTGACCAATCCCTATTCTAGGGGGTACCTTGATTCTGAGATAACCACAAGCTTGGGCTTGTCTCTCAGGTTGGGGTGACCTGGTGCCTGGGGTACTGCCCAGCCCCAGGGCTCTCACCTCGAAAGTAAGTCATCTTGGATTTCTTCTCAGAACTAAATTACACCTTCGATTTACCTGGGCCTCGCTGGCAAAGGTTCACGACCCTCTAACTTCTAACAAGGCTGGAGGGGGTGCCCCTCTAACTGCCTGAGGGTCTTCCTTTGCTGTGCTCTCTTCTAGAAAGTTAAGAAGGTATATCTTAACCTCTGAAGTCTGTGGATATCAATATGGAATTTTCTGTAACTATTATAAGAACTGTCCTTTACTGCAAGGGGTTGGGGGCTAGAAGGTTTGGAGGAATGGAGGAGGAAAGAGTGGGGATTAGGAGGGGAGATTTAGGAAGGGCAGTAAGAATGGGTGGGGTAGAGTGGTGGGTGACAGAGAAATGCAAAAGTGGCAAAAGTGGGTGGATAAAGAGGTACATGTTGAGAGATGGAAGAAGGGAGAGGTGGGTATGAGGCGACATGTGAAAGCCCCTCACTTAGCACCCGAGAAAGTTCCTCTGCAGCAAGGCAGAGAAGTTCTTGGCTTCTCACCTTTCCCTGGCCGAGAGACAGAAAGGAATGTCCTTGTCTTCTGTGACCCCTAGCCCTCCCCCTGGATCCTGGAGAGGAGTCTGACTCTAAAGGTCTCCAAAAACTAGCTTTATGATAGCCTCTTGCCTTTCAGCGTTTGGCCTCACTACTCCAGTCCTGTTTCTGCACTAATTTGTGGCCCCTACTGGCGAGGCAGCAACTGGTTCAAGTGTGTCAGAGATGATAAGGACACAGGCTAGGACAGGGTTCACATCTGTTGTTCATAAAGAAGACTGTCTTGAGGAGTAAGACACTGTGATGCAATCCCAAATGGTTCAAACCCACCAGTCGCTCCACGGGAGAAGGACGAGCAATCTCCTCCCTTGCGATTAACTACCTCTGAAAACCCGCTGGAGGGTCAGCTATGGGTCGGTTCAGATTCAACACAACAGCAGCAAATGTCAAGGAGAGCACGCGCGCCCCCCCCACACACACACACACACACACGTTCAGATGTCCGCCAGGCGGCGCCCTTCTAAGGCGCAGAAAGGCTGTTCTCCAAGGCGCGCGGATAAATTGGCTGCTAGAGGGGGCTGACCCCAGATCACCCATCAGAAAAGGCCAGGTGCCCCAGCTACAAGGACCTGTGCACAACTGGATCGACTCCTCAAATTTTAACTGCATGGCAAAGCCAGGATGGAGGTTAGGCGGATGGCGCACGGGCTCCCGCCACAGTGCTCCCGGCAGGACCCTCTCCCGGCCATCCCCAAATCGGAGGGTGGAGCCCGGGAAGCTCACCTTCTCTCCAGTCAGCACGTGCAGCCCCTCGCGCACCTTGGCGAAGGAGCCCTCGCCCAGCTTCCTGCTGCCGATGAGGTAGTTGCCCACGCGCTTGTGGTGCTGGAAGTCACGGAGCCGTTCGCGGGGCACGCCGCTCACCCAGGCGGGCAGGAAACTTCCCTCGCAGGCCGCCGCCGGCCTGGCCGCGTCCTCGCCGCCGCTGACCCCCGGCGCCGCCGGCTCGCCCAGGAGCCCGTCCCCCGCCGCTGCCGGCATCGTGCTCGCCCGCGCCGGGCAACCCCGGGTCTCAGCTCCCGCGCTCGCGGCTCCTCCTCCGACTCCCGGCTCCTCCCGCCGCCGCCCGGCCCCGCCCGACCGGAGTCTCCGCGCCCGATCCGAGGGTCCCCCGCGCTGCCAGGCGCTGCGCAGACAATAGCGGCCGCCCTGGAGCCCCGCGAGCCAGGCAGCCGGGACGCGGGAGCCCGCTTCTCAGAAGTTCTTGCTCAGTGGGTCCTCTGGGCCCCTCGCAGGACACCGAAACCTCTCTCTCCCTGGTCCCGTCCAGAAGGCGCAATGACAGTCACCCGTGCCAGCCGCGGTTAACCGCGCTGGCCGGACAGGGCAACAGGGCGCAATCCGGTGCCGCGGTTCCCGGCTCTCCACCGCCGCCTGGCCCCGCGGGCTCGGGCCGCTCGCTCGCTCCCAGCCGTGCGCCCCGCGGGCCGCTCCCGCCCTACAGGCTCGTGCAGCGGGCTGCAGGCGCCCTCTGGAAGGAAGCAGAAGAAAGCCCCATTCAGTTTGAATTTGCAGAAATTTAATCCGGTCGCAGGCGGCGGGAACAGATGCGAGCTCCACTCCGCAGCCCGTGCACTTTCAAATCCCTCGTAGCCCCTCCTTCCCCGCGCGCCACAGCCAAACTCGACCCTCGTTGGAGGGGGCAGGGCTTGCGGAGGGAGCGGCCGAGTGGGCGGGGGAACCACCTGAGCGCCAGACGCGGGGACACTGGCGGCCTGAGGGGACCGCGAGCCGCCGGAGTTGAGCGCTTTCAGCTGTGTCTTTTCGCCTGTATTCTGGGGCTTGGGCTGCCTGAACCTTTGAGTAGTGAAATCTCCAACTGAGTGCGAGAGCGAAGGCAATCCGGAGCCTTATGGACTGAACTGTAGATCGGGTACCTGGTGCCCGGGTCAGGGCTCCGCTCGCAATGGGGCCCTCTGAACCTGGGCGGAAGGATGGATGGATGGATGGATGGATGGATGGATGGATGGATGGATGGATGGATGGATGGTTGGATGGATGGATGGATGAACGGGGAGATGGCAGGGCGTCTTCCCGAGCTCCTGCGCAGACCGGATTGCTGGGTTGGAGGAGTAGCAGCAACAGTAATAGTAGCTGCAGCAACGTAGGAAGCTGGGCTGTTGCTACCTCTGCATGTACGTTTACACTTTCTTTGGTTTCCATTCAAATGATGCCCATGATTGCAGGATGAGATAGACTCGCGCTCGCGGCTGCTGGAGGCTTTTGTTCTGTGCGTGCTGTGACTGAGCTCATTCCCTGGGAACAATTGCAATTGCATTCACGACTCTGACCCTCTCTGGAATCCTCAACGTCCTCTTAAAACCTAAAACGAGCTCAACTGTGACGGAGTAGGCGGAGGCTACATGTTATTGTTGTTAGATGCCACCCAGCCAGTGCCAACTCTTAGCGACCCTACAAACAGAAGGAGACATTACCTGGCTCCTGCACGATCCGAATGAGCTTTGCCATGTTTGAACTCATTGTTGCAGCCTCAGTGCTGCACGTCTCTTTGAGGCTCTTTCTCTTTTCACGGACCCTCTACTCTAAGCATGATGTCATTCGCTCCTGATAAAGAGAGGAAATCATGCCCTAGTGTTTCAGGAGCACTCTAGGTGCATTTCTTCCCAGACAAAATTGTTTCTTTTTCTAGCAGTCTGTGATACAGTCCATACTTTTCGCCACCATTATGATTCAATGCTTTGGTCTTCCTTTGTCACTGTCTAGCTTTTACCTGCGTACGAGGTATTTGAAAATCCCACGGACTGGGTCAAGCTAAGTATCAGGAGGCATTTACAAAACAACGTGCTTGCTACCTGTTGAGCAGCCAGATAAGAGACTCCAGCAGTCAAGGCAAACTAACCTCTGATCACACGTCAGAGTTGAAAAGGAAGATTTCTGACTCCTTCCTGATTCCTTTGTTTACTGCACAGTAAAAAGAGAACCTCCACCCAAAAGGGAGAGTGAGGTGGAGAAGGGTGTGCAGAAGACAAGAAGCAGGCATCTTAGAGACTCTCCTGCCCGTCCAAAAACTGACCCAGGGAATGACTTTAAAAAGGTCTACTTTTCAATATGCTGCTCTACTGTCAGGGAGCTCTGGTGGCCTAGTGGTAATAAACTGTGCTGCAGTCCAAAAAAAGCGCCTTTTAAATCCACCAGTTGCTCTTTGGGAGAAGGATGGGCAAATCTCCTGGAGAGAGGGGAACCCACTGGAGCTATGAATCAGTTTCCACTTAACAGCACACAACAGCTCTGGAATCAACTGTAGGAGCCTCGGTGGCCAGGGACTAAAGTGCCTGGCTGCTAACCAGAAGATGGGTAGTTCAAACCCATCAGTCATTCCTCTACTGGAGAAAGGCATGGCAGTCAGCTTCCATAAAGATTTCAAACACGACCAACAAACACTTGAAGAAATGCTCATTACCTATTCCACAAAACAACAGCTCATTGTCATCAAGTCAGAACTGACATAGCTGACACTCCAGTGGGATTTCAGAGGCTATAAATCACACCAGTACCTTCAATCTGGACATATACTAACTATTTAAAGTGCTGGACTCTGAAGAAGAATGTTGCATGAGGATCAGAGGAAGTCTTATCCAAAACCTGCAATATGCAGAAAGCACAGCTTTGCTTGTTAAAAGTGAGGGGGATTTGAAACCCTTGCTGCAGAAGATCAAAGACACAACCTTTAATATGAATAACATCTCAACATCAACAAAAGAAAACGTCTCACCACTGGACCATAGGCAACATAATGATAAATGGAGGGGAAAAAATTGAAATAGTTGATTACTTCATCTTACTTGGATCCACAAGCAACACACTTGGTACCAGCAGTCAGGAGATCAGCAGACATATAGCACTGGGAAAGTCTGCAGTCAGGGACCTCTCAAAATTACTGAGGAGCAGTGATGTCAGTTTGAGGACTAAGGTGCATCTGATTCAGTCCATAGTGTTTTCAATCACTTGCTATGCATCTAAGAACTCGACAATGAATAAGCTTGGCAGAAGAATAATTGATGCCTTTGAGCTGTGGTGCTGGAGAAGAGTACTGAATATCCCATGGACTGCCAAAAAGAACAGGCAGATATGTCTTGGATAAAGTACAGCCAGTGTACCTTGGAGACAAAGATGATAAAATTTCATGACATATTTCGGTCATGTTGTTAGAAGAGTCTTTTCCTTGGAGAGATACATCATGCTTGGGAAGGTGGAGGGTCAGCAAAAGAGAGGAAGACCCTCAACCGCATAGATTGACACAGTAACTGCTATAATGGGCTCAAGTGTGTCAGAAATTATGAAGATGGCACAGGATAGGACTGGGTTCAGATCTGTTATTCATAGAGTTGCTATTGGTCATTCTTGATTTGATGGTACCTAACAACAACAATAACAAATCATACAACAAGAGATTGCCCACCTTTCTCTCAAGAAGCAGCTGTTAGATTAACTGTCTGCCTTTGGGTTAATAGTGCAACTCCTTAAACATTAGGCCACCAGAGCTCCCTATTATCTGTTGTTACATGCTATCAGGTCAAGTCAGGACTGAACCTTGTCCCATCCTGTGCCATCCTATCATCTCTGACATACTTTTTTAAGAAATTTATTTTTATTTCCTATTAGTTTACATACAAAATTCATATACCCACTTTATTTCATTCATATAGTTTGTATTTCACATATTCCTTCACTTATATTGTGTTTCATATAATCATTCTCATACATTGTATTTTATAAAATCATCACCATTGATGTATGCTCACTAGTACCCCGCCTTTTCAGATCCTCATTGGATCTTTCTCAATCCCTTCACCTCTTCCTTCCACCCACCAAACTCTGCGACCCCATGATTTCCCCCTCTCCTCACCCTCAGACTCCCTGACCCCTCTTATTCCCCTTTTGGACATTTATACACATCTTACTTGTTAACCTTCTAATTTTATAATAATGGTCTTATGCAGTATTTGTCCTTATGAGACTGAGTTAGTTCACTCAGCCTAATGCTATCTAGTCTCTCCTTTGTTATGTAATAGTTTCCTAAATCATTACTCCTGAGTGCTGCATAGTAATCCAAGGGTCCATCAACAAATGGATAAATGGATTTTTAAAATTATGGCACATCTACAGGCTAAATCGCAATAGAGGAGACTTCTTATCTTTCTTCCTGTGGAGCATTTGGTGGATTCAAACTTCCAGATAAGCTCAACCTTTGCGTTAGCAGTATGACTTGCTATAGACTACATCCCCAGAGCTCTCTAACAGAATACTACAGCATTAAAGAATGTTGAAACTGCAAAACATAGTTAAATCTAGAGGACATTGGGCTGAGTGAAATAAGTCAGTCACAAAGGGTCAAGCATTGTATAAGATGATGCCTATTCTAAAAAAGCTAAAGGGAGCTCTGGTGGCTTAGTGTCAAGAAGCTGCACTGCAATCCCAGAGGCTCACAGTTCAGATCTCTGCTGGAGAAGGAGAGGAAATCTCCTCCTGTACCAGTCAGATCTGATTTGATAGTACATATACACACACAAATAATAAATTTTTTTTAAAAAAAGGTGTGCATACAGGTAGAATTATTCTTGAATGGTTACCAGGATTGAAAAGAAACGGAGAAGAGAGTAAACCTAGTCAGACTTGGCAGATATTTTGATTAAAGTTATAAAACAAACTATAAGAATTAAAAACTAAAATACTTGCAAACTTTCACTCAAATCACAATTAAAAGGGGGAAAGGGAGTAGAAGGAACACTATTAGGTTTAGGAGTTATTCCGCTCTCCTTGTGCTCCCCCAAAAGATTCAGCCTTGGAAACCCTATGGAGTCATTGTACTCTGTCCTACAGAGTCACATTAAGTTAAAATTGACGGGATCGTTCACAACAACATGATTAACTTTGTTATTGTGACTGGGAGCATGCTATTTGTGTTTTCTGTTGTTCTTCTTGTGACTGCTACTTTCTCATATGAAAGACAATTTTGCTTT